TATATATATATATATATATATATATATATATATATATATCCCAGTTATTTATGATGTGATAATAATTTTCATACTTTCAGAAATACATGTAACGTTTCCGTTTTCTGTAACTATATTTCCAACTGCATCCCGCTGTATCCGTCCTACGTGTCCACTTTCAGATGAATCCATGAATTCGGCCATTATCTGTATTTTCTATATATGTAATAAAACAATAAGACACAATCAATTGATCTAAATTATAAAATTGCCTTATTTCATTTTACAATAAAGTTTATGACTATGTAGTTCATGATTGATATACTGTAATACTTAAACCATTATAAACTTATAATATTTATTTAAATATTAACAGTTTTGCTTATGTTCTTTATTATCATCCATCCCAGACAGCACAATTCTAAAACCGAATCATAAGATGTCTTTAAGATATCTTTAAAACATCTTTAAGACAAGTTTATAAAGTACTGTCTTAAAGATGTCTTAAAATTGTCCTAAAGACGTCTTATGTCCCAGTTTTGGACATGTGTGCTGTCTGGGATGTAATACTTTCATTACCTAAATATAATATTGTTAAGTAGTGTTTATATTATATATTTTACATTGTTCAACAACTTGATATTTATGGTCATGTTTTCGCACTTATAGCATTTTATGTTTTGTTGAACAATCCTATTTCTTTTAAAAACTGTTTTGTGTTGGATACCCATACAACAAATCCCTCCGAAAAAACTCCAAGAGCCTTCCCAAGGATGTCTTTCGGATATTTTGTGCTGTTTGGATAACATTCTAAATACTTCTTTTATGTCATTCTACATTATATATTTATTATATATTTATCTACATTATATATTTATTATATATTTATCTACATTATATATTTAAGTATTTACTTATAGATTCCGTCGTCGGATTATTTCTTCTACGTAATGTCAACTAGGTATACCGATTTTACAGGTTATAGATACAAATTTAAATTTTTTCGGTTAGCTGCCCTGCACTGCTTGCTCTACCTCCAGACCTAGGGCAGTCAGTTCACTGAACTCGCTGCACTAGTTCAGCCTGCACTGTTCGAAAGAACACATTTTCTTGCACTGTTCTGATCGAAAGAACGCATTAGTGCAAACTTCGTGAACTAGTGCAGCCAGTTCAGGTCGAAAGAGCAAACCTAAAGATTCAACGTGCATACGCACTCGAGAAAGCCTATTAGTTAGAATTCAAAAGAATACCTCAACGAGGCAGTGACCTGATGTGCAACCGTAATCAAAGGCATTGAGTGGTCTCGCGCGGCGCCTTATATAGGCGCCTAAGCGAAATTTGACTGCGAGCAACGGCTCCGGCTGACGCCGTCGCCGCGTCGCGGTGACGGTGCGAACTGGCGGCGGGAGGCCGGCGACTGCGAGTCGAGCGGCGCCTGGGGCCCGGTCGCCCGCCGTACACGCTCCGTGAGGACGTAAACGTTCCGTCCGGAACAATACGATATACAAAAAATCACCAAACGCGTTTCGGTCTTATTCTCATAAGAGGGTCTGATCCTCTTCAGTGAAAAAAATTAAAAAATTGTCATAAAAAAGATAATTCATTGATCAATTGTTGAAACAGTCCAAAGAAACACAAGTTAAAGAAAAATAATAGTCGCAGACGGAAATCGAAAAACCCGTAAATAAATAAATAAAATTAAGACCTTTTAAATCTTCTAAGTCGAAGCGACTTGTGGTGAAAAGACGTTAGTTGCCCGATTGCAAATTCCGTTACTCACAACACTTACAATTAGTAGGGTGCTGTATTCGTGGAATATAAACACCAAAATATTAAAAAATAACAGAATAATTGCGAAGGAAGTCAAGGCAAGATTAACAAAAAGTTATCTAAGTATCTTCGAAGAAAGATTTTCAAAGATTCAAAGTTTCAATATCGTATATCTTTGAGCGTATACCTCCGAATACCGACAGCGGTACAAATGCTGTATTTATATTTAGATCGGAAAACCACAACAACAATGTAAAGCTCGATGATACGCAGAGACAAAAAAACCTACATGCATCCGAATAACGCGTTATGACTGTTATTGAGATATTCAGTATCGATTTGCGAATTAAGGTCTTGCCTTCACAATTAAATAAAAATTGTTACCGCAACCAATCTTTTAAAATAAAGACGTTCTTCATGCAAAATTCTAACAACGTCCCAATAGAACTCGTGGTTGCAAGTAATGCGATGTTCTTCGATGACTGAAAGATTCGAAGTTGAGTCTTTGTGCTCGGAAATGTGTGTAGATACCCAGATAGCACAAAATACTCTGAGAATATTTGAACAAGATGATTTTTATATATTCTGATAATATTCGGAAAGAATATTCTTACATGGTTTCAAGAATGTTCTGAATATGATTGGAATATTATTTGTTATGTTTTCAGAATATTCTATTAAAACAGCACAGAATATTCTAACAAGATGATTTCTACGCATCCAGAAAATATTCGGGAAGAATATTCTTATATCGTTTTAAAAACGTTGTGAATATTATTAGAATATTATTTGCTAAATTATCAGAATATTCTAAGAACATTTTAATAACTTTATATCACCGAACATTGTAGTAAGATTATGATGGGTAGGTTACAAGCTTGCACATTTTAATGAGCATCCCAGATGCAACACAAAATCATTTTGATGTTAAGATGATATCATTTTTATATCAAAATTGTCTTGAAATTGTCATGAAAATGATATCGTTTGACGTCAAAATGACATCACTTTTATATCATTTGACGTCATTTTAATTTTTATATCATTTGACATTATTTTAATTTTTATATGTAACGATCCAAATAAGCGATTGTTACTAAAAGAAACACATAAGACCGCAAATCAAAAGAAACGCGAAAGGACGCTGCGTCCTTCAGGTAAACAGCACGACCGCCGAACAACAGCGGTAAACAGCGATCAAGTGTGATTCGCAATATATAAAACGCCGCAAATTGTAATCGAGATCAAATCCGATCTACCGCTCTTTCGAGAGAATCAGACTCCGATCATCCGCTCTCGAGAGAGATCCGCAAGTACCTCCTCCTGGCAGAATACTGCTCGCGGATTCGCGACAGCAATCACTCCGCCGTCGACTCACGGATTCGTGATATCGACATTGATCTCTATACCGTTCCTGGCAGCTTTCTGCTCGCGGATTCGCGACTGAAAGCACTCCGCCGTCGGCTCACGGGTTCGTTACGCCGACACTGATAAACTCCGTTATCCGTAAGATTCCACGCCGCCGAAGGGCCTGGAATCGACACAACGGAAGGGTACTTAACGCACCTTTCACATCGCAAACCGGATCTCGCCGTCACCTTAGCGCGAGCAAGATCACAGCGTTATCAAGTCACCGGGCACGAACTAGTCATCGTAGATTCGAAGTTTCGCTCCGTTGCAGCGTAGCTTCGACACCGCATATTGAGGATCCGCGTCAGGATCACACCATCGTCGACTTGCAAGGACGCGACCTTCGCGATACTCAAAAGCGATCTCTAGAAGGGAGATCGGACTTACTCCGTTACCGCGACGCATAGGCGCGTCCGCGGCACCGTATTTACCGCAACCGCGATCGTATTAGAACGAGCCGGTCTCGTTTGATTACAAAGACAGCCATGATAGCTAAGGTTCCGTGTACGAGGGCCGACGACCGCACCGCATACACCGAATCTCCGCGATAGGAGATCGAATGTATCCCCACCGCGTGCAGCTCCGCTGCAATACGACCGACATACCGCGTACACTGTGCTGCATCGAAGAGGAACTAAATAACTACAAGAAGTTGTCAATCGAGATTAAAGAAGCGAGAAGCCGAGAAACATCAACAGACGAACTCGCGAATACGCGACTATCACACCGACCGCGTCCCGCGCACCGCGTCTCGCGAGCCATCGCATAAACAAAGCCTCTGACAGCTAATATACAAGCTGCCAAAACTAACGGTGTCGACACGCATTATTTAATTTAATTGTAAACACCAACAGCTGTTGATTTTAAATATACGATTAAGTTTATTAACAAACCACTGTCTCTAAATTATTCCGTCTATTACGAACCCGAACCGGCGAGCGATCCGAAACGCGACGCATCACGGTTACATATATAACTGTGTTGTACCTGCTCTACTGAAAAAATCCAGCTGAGATTTCAATTGAGAACTCAATTACGAAGTAATTACTCTGTCAAAATATTGTGAGAGAGAAAGAAGGAATATTCCCATATAGCATAAATGTTCAATAGATATCCTAAGAATGTTCTAAGAATATTCAAATATTCTTAGAACGTTTTTAGGATATCTATTGAACATTTGTGCTGTATAGGTTCTCTCTCTTTTGTGAGCATGTTGTATGTTAAAGTTTGATTACTTATATAACATTGTATTAATATTAATCGCATTGTGATTGTTGTTACATCCCAGCAAACACAGATATATCAAGCGACACGGTAGTGTCGCGAAGCCAAGTGCAAGCGCGAAGCATTGGCGGCCTACCGTGTATAATTACGCGATGGCTTTAGCTGAATGTAAGCTAGATTTTCGTTTCGGCCCACATATAGCAGCATAGCTGACACAAGAATCCCAGGATGAGCTTACTATACGACTACTATGTGCTCTGCAATTAATGTATATGGGGACCCAATGGTGAAGGGAAAACTAAATACACTACTGTTTGGGACGCTCAATCAAGAAATCAGTTGATTAGTATATCCCAGCTATTGTAAAACCCTACCTCAGTTACGGCATCAGTATGACTGTGTCCCTAATTATACTGTAGAGGACAATGGTATAGGAACTGCGTACGAGGTAAAATAAAGCTACCTCCAGACCAGGAAATGGGAATGGCATGGATAGACAGTTTCTTCCCATTCAATAACACTTTCACAATGGTAATGGGGAGCTGCTGATGTTATATAAATGCGGACTCATCCGCATATGACAACATATCCGCATTCATATCTCAACCCCGAGAGGTGCATAACGAATTGCTGTATGCCTTGAACAAAGCCCCATTGCTGTCCAATACATGAGAGCCTACTGATGTGTTCCAAAAGATTGGGTTGGGAGAGGATCAGGTGTGGCAAGCTCAGATGCAGCAATAAGCAGAAAAATCAAGGGAATGATAGCTAAGTGTTTAAATGGAAGATTTAAAGCTGTGAAACTTACACAGAGTAACATTATTACGTTGTATACCTTTCACAAAATCCGATAATTTCGAAAGAAATGGAAATAAAAAAAAATAAAACTCATGCTACAAGACATTTCTAATGAAAATGTATTAGAGATGGAAAAGGAAGACAGTCTGGATTTTATGATTCATATGAGGTGCAAGAAGCAGAAGAAATTGATTTACTTGAGAAATATGAACAAGAAGAATACCTTCCAGAAGAAATTGTATGTTCTACAGAAGCAGTATCATTGGAATATAAAAGAAGTGCTGTAGAATTTTGGAAGAGCAGTAAAAGAGGGCCAAAATCGTTAGGAGTAAAACGGAGATTCCGGAAAGTATTATCAATACAACTACGACGATGGGAAAAACAAATCAAGGAAGGTGGTGACAGATATACAAAATTAACAAAAATTTCTGAATATACATTAAATCGTTTCCAAGAAGCATTTGAAAAGGGAATAATTGTTCATAATATCGACATTGCTTGATGGGATACTCGAGCACAAGAAAAAGTACAAGCGCCACAATTCAAAGCTTCGAAAGCATATATAAGAAGATTCACTGAAGCATAATATTGTATCACGGAAAATAATAAAATTTATTACAAAAAAGTCTCTGTTATCAAAATCAGATTTAGAACAGAAATCCGCAGTATTTATAAAAAAAGTTAAATATTTTATCGGAACATACGGACTAGAAAATATTTTTTTTCTGATCAAAGTGATTTCCAGTTAGAATTTCATGCTGGTCATACTCTAATATATAAAGGTACACAAAAAGTTGAATCAGTTGTACAATTTGTTTCATCAACTACGCATAGTTACACTATACAACCCACAATTTTAGCCGATAGTAAATTGTTATCGCCTCTTTTCATAGTATTAAAAGAAGTTAACGGAACATTTGACCCAAGAGTTCAAGAAACCATATTCAAAGAGCCTAACATTTTTACTATGACTTTAAAATCTGCTAAATTAACATCATTGTGAAGACTTGGTTAAAAGAAGTCTTTTCCCGAACATTTGACCACAATCAGTTTTACTATTAGATTCATGGACCTAATATAATTGCAGAAACTAGAACAGAATATGCCACAAACATTGTATTTTTAAGTATTCCAGCTGGCACAACGGAACAAATACAACCATTAGATGTATATGGATTCCAACTGTGGAAAAATTTTATTAAACATTTTTCTAACATAGTTATGTTGTTAGATTTTGCAATAGATCTCCATACTAGAAATAATATTTTGAAATTGCAATTATTAACACCAATTTTCATCGCCAAGGTTTCAAAATTTGTTTAAATACGCATGGTTTAAAAGTGGGTATGTACAAAATAAATCGAGAGTTTTAGACACCTATACAATTCTGCTTCCAAACTAATACAAAAGTAAGATGTGATATTTGCGACCAAACTACGATAATTATTTGTTCTTGGTGTAAGAAATCACTTTGTGCGGCACATTTCTTTCATGAACATCATCTTTGCGATTAATATGTACCATAAATGTTACATATGTACCTTATTTATACCATAAGATGGGGTTACATTGTGACTGTAGGGGTTACTTTGTGACACAGTGAATATTGGTCAATAGTGATAATTATCACAAAGTAACCCCATCTTACGGTATGTTAGCAATGGAAGAGGGAGAGCCAGTAACATTAGAGGCCTCTCCCCATAGAGATGGCTCACCCGATAGCTACGACGACGATGATGTTAGCTGACAGAGGTGAACGGCGGTTCTTCTTCTGAGAGCTGCGGGAGTGTGACTGCGAGAGCAGTAGCAGAGAAGGAGATGAGAGCAGAATCGCCGGTGGCGGCCGGCCGGAGAAGAGGGGGAATGGTTACGGGGAAGTCAACCCTCTGTGGTGGCGGCGGATGTGTGGCGTAGCATTCGTCGCTAATTATAATGGTATAGAGGTTCCTGCAAGGGAACTGGGGATGGAGCGGACTGAGAAGTCAGCTGGTTCAGAGTGCCTTCCAGAAGTCGTGCCTGCTGGCGTTCCTGGGAGGCACTCGACAATGAACGCGGTTAGGACGCCCGGTGGAGTTTTAGTGGGTAGGACGCGGTCGGCATATTAGGCCGGCCGCGGGAGTCCCACATAACCCGACCACACCCCAGGGGTTTGGTCGGGTATGCGTAAATGCATTTCTCCATCGTCAAAAAAAAAAAAAAAAATCTTACGGTATGTAATCTTTAATTGTATTATTCATATTATACGCGCGCATGCGTGAATAAAGAATTTGCTTCAATGTCAGCGTATTATATCCATTGCTGTTCTATTTTTACTCAACAATTATTCAAAATCAATTATTGTACACAAACTTTTCATAATTTATATTATCAATATATTCATCTTTTAGAGAAAATTTTGGAGAGATAACGACGCCAAATGTATTTCCATACGTATGCAGCATAATTCATGAATCCTCGTATAACTTTGTATAGTACCTTCTTTATGGCATTATAATTAATATACTTACATATAGTATTGTGAGAAAATATGCACAAGAGGAAGTTGTTTAGTACGGTGTAAGAAAATATGAAGAAACAAAGTAACGCGACACATGCCTACAGCGCAGCGCATATACTATTAACTTCTAATGCGTTTTTCTTTTTTAATATTGAAGACCATACGTTTGTTCGAGTTGCTTGTACTATGCACACTTTTACATATAATGTCCGTTGCATACTAGTGCACAATACAAATTTTCCAAAATACGTTCTGAAGACGCTTTTAGGACGAAGGGATGTCATCAGAATATTTTTAGGTCCTTTGAAGATGTGAGCTGTCTGAAAATAGCTAATATCCAATAAGTTTATTCGCATTAATTGAACTTTTTACACTTTCACACTTAGTGCACATTAATTCTTTAAAAGTTCTCAAAATGACGTCATGATTTCCGTTAGTGTTACGAGTGTAAATGTAATTCTGATACACTTTTTACACTTGACCCCAAGCAAGAGTGAAGTGTATCAAAATTGCATTTACATTCGTAACACGAACGGAAAACATAACGCCATTTTTAGAACCTCTAAAGAATTGTAATAACCCGTATATCGTTACGAGGAAATCCAAAATCGCATGACAACGCGAACAAAAGAAAAAAATGCGAAAGGACAATACGGTTTTCTAGTAAACAACGCGGCCACTGAACACCTATGGTAAACAGCGAATCAAGCGTGATTCGCAAGATGTAAAACACCGTGAATTGTTAGATCAAATCAGATCTGATCCACCGCTCTTTCGAGAGAAACCGATTCCGATCGTCCGCTCTTTAGAGAGAACCGCAAACACCGTTCCTGGTGTATTTCTGCTCGCGGATACGTGACAGAAATCACTCCGCCGTCGAGTCACAGATACGTGATATCGACATCGTTCCAACACCCGGTAGATTGTTGCTCGCGGATACGCGACAAGAGTCACTCCGCCGTCGGTTCACGGATACGTGATACCTACACTGCTCCGAACACCTATTCCTGGCAGATTACTGCTCGCAGATTCGCGACAGAAATCACTTCGCCGTCGGCTCACGGATTCGTGACGCCGATACTGACATAACTACCGTTATCCGCAAGGTTTCACGGCCGTCAAAGGGCCTGGAATCGACACACCGCTTAATGCAACCTTCACACCGCAAACCGGATCTCGATGTCGCCTTAGCATGAGCGAGATCACATCGTTATCGAGTCGCAGCGCAGCTTCGACACCATGTCTTAAGGATCCGCGTCAGGATCACACTGTCATCGACTCGCAGGAACGCGAGTCGACCTCCGCGATACTAGCAAACCGATCTCCAGAAGCGAGCTCGGAATCACACCGTTATCGCGACGCATAGGTGCGTCCGCGGCACTATCTTCACCGCATCCGCGATCGTGCTAGAACGAGCCGGCCTCGGTCGATTGCAAAAACAGAGCACATAGCTAAAGTTCCGCATATAGGCGGACTTCCGCATCGCATACACGAGACCGCATCGAGTCTCCGCGATAGAAGATCTGAAGTATCGCTATCGAGGCGATACACCGCACGCAACTCCGCTGCAACAGCACCGACATACCGCATAGACCGAGCTCTCAAGTTGAGAGTGACACTCAATTTGAGTGTTAGGGCCTATCCAGACAAACTTGCATAGTCGCATAAACGTATGCATAAAGAAATTGATTGTTTCATTTCCTTATGGACCAATCAATATAACATAATAAAAATGTTGTACTGTAATTGCTGGTCGGTTTGCTTACAGCTTTACGATTATGACTAAAACTTTTTTACGTGTCATGAAATTAACTCAAGTTAAACAACTCAAATTGACAAAAAATTATTTGTTGTGATCTTAAAGTGTATGAAAATAATAAAACATATGCCATTATGATAACATAAACATTAATTTTGTTACGTAACGTGTTACGTTACAATTATATTATTTTGTTGTTACCAGAAAGTAACAGATAATGTAACTATTTCAGTACAATGTTATATTGCATAAATAAAAGACAGTTATATAATCCCAATATAAACTAGGTATAACAAATGTTACGTTACATGTTACTCTCATGTTACATTGCAGTTTTATATTGATATTAATAATATTGATTTTTATTATGTTATATTTTATTATGTTATGTTGATATTCCATATGTAATTATCTTTAAAATTATATTTTGCAGTGTCATATATCGCTTGTGATCACTGATTGAATTGACTGTGATTGAACAGAATTTGAATATTTTATATTTCAAAAATATTATTGATTTTAAAACTTAAAGAGAAAGAATATGGTTGTTGTGATTTGAAAAGAGGATGAGAACAAATGTAAGATATGAGCTGTTCTTTTTAGATGCACTGCTGAACTGGTGCAATAAGTTAGAGTGAAACAAATATCTTTTTTCTCGCTCCAACTTTTTGCACCGGTTCAGCAGTGCAGCTAAAAAGAACAGACCAATAGTGTACCCTTACGGAAAAAACACTCAACAAAACACTCAAAAAGACACTCAAAGTAACACTCAATTTAAGTGTTAATTCGAACACTCAACTTGAGAGTGACACTCAACTTCAGAGTGATACTTAACTTGAGAGTGACACTCAATTTGAGTGTCAATTTGAGTGTTAGGGCCTATCCAGACAAACTTGCATAGTCGCATAAACGTATGCATAAAGAAATTGATTGTTTCATTTCCTTATGGACCGCGGAACGCGTCCGGGGAGAAGAGGGAGACGCGTACTGAGCACGAGCGGGTCATCGTCGAACGACGACGAGGCATGGAGGCCAGCGCGCGCTCCTCGGCGCGGCCGAACGAGACGGATAGACAGCGTGGAGTCTGGCGGGAGCGCGAGTTGCAGAACCCCGCCAGCGCCCCACGACGAATCAACGACGAACGACACGCCACGTAGCCATCGCGGAGCGCGAGACGCGCGTTCAGCGCGAAATAGGGCGCGTCCGGACTCGGGCCCCGAGTCCAGCGCGAGCTACGAGGCGCGTCCCAGAGTGAGGAGACGAATCGAGGACACCTACGAGTCCCCACCCGACACGGACGACACGTGGGAGCTCGTACGTGTGCCTCGCAGGAAACACGTGAGATGGACGGATACCCCGGAACCTGGCGGAACAACGAGAATGAGAGCGCCGCCAGCGCTTCGGGATACGTCAACATCCGGAAGCGACGAATAGCGACCCGATCGGCGCGCGTCCCCAGACTCCTCACCCACCCGCAAGCGTCGTTCTAACGATGAAGGTAAATAAACAACCTTTCTTTCCAGAGCTCTCGCTAAGGCGATCGCACAAACCAGATCACTGCAAACATCCTAAGGTGGTCTTCTCGTTTAATTGCCCGCAGATGGAGATCGAAAAAGCTGTCGAGCGAAACAAGCGACTGGCGCGCGAGTTGCGCGACATCGAGAAAGAGGTTGAGCGCGCGAAAAAGAAAGAGGAGCGCGCGAAATTGCAGAGGCTCGACAGAGAGGCGGACGAGATGAGGAAGCAGATCGCGAAACACAGGGCGACGCTGCAAAGAATCAGGGCGGAGGAAGAAAAATCGCCAAGAGAGAAAGATCGAAAAAAGAGCGAGAACCGAAACCGCAGTAGGGAGAAGACGCCGCGTGAAAAAGTGAAGCGGGAACGAACGGGAAAGAAGGAGGCGCGCGCCGTTGCGGCGATAATGAGCGACGATCCTTCGGACGCGGAGAACAAGCCGCCGACGCACCGCGAAGGTACCACAATCGACAGCCACTCGTGGGAGCACCTGCCGTCCACCGCGGGTATCAGAGTGGCATGGAGCCAGGTGTATTCGTCGTCGGAGCCGAGGACTCCGTCACCGGAGCCAGAGAGACCGGAGCCGGGAACGAGCCGCAGCAAAAAGGGCAAACCTCGAGTCGACGCAAAGCTGGAAAGCCGGCCGATCGTAAAGCTGAACCGTCTCGAAGAGGTGGACCCGACGCTCATCCTCGACTCGCGAACACGAGTGAGACCGAGCACCACAGTCGACTCTCGACGAGACGGCAGAGCGGAGAAGCGGATCCGTCAGGGCGGAACCACTACTGAACCCGTGGGACGCGAGAGGAAATCGAGCAGCCACCAACACCGAAAGGCCCAAGGTCGAACGAAGGCGCAGGAAACCGGGCGCCACAGGGAGCCACGAGACGTGTCACCCGGGGAGGCGACTCTGCTGCGTCTCGAGATGGAGAGGCGGCGAAAGGCGATGGCGGTAGCGGCGAAGAAAACGGGTTTCGGCCGTATATTCCGCCTCCTCTCGGACAGCGACCTCGACGACAACGCGAGTGCTGACGAGCCCACACCTGTGCCAGCCGCGGACGCGCCGGCAGGCGGGAGTGCTATGCGGCAGCACGCAGCCGCAGGCGAAACGCCCGCCACCACCAGAAAGGGCGCCGAGGGGATGTCGGGCGTCGAGAGCGGGGGAGGAGTGGATGTCGAGCGGGAGCGGAGTCGACAACAACGCCAGGCCGACGAGCCGCCGAGGACGAGGCAGGAGGAGCCAGAGCAAGTGAGCGGGCGCTCACCGCGGAGGGAACAGCTCGGGGTGGCGGCCGAGGACGAGGAGGTCCCGAGGCCTAACCCAACCGAACCCTCCGCGTCGGAAGAACATCGGCCGTCCGAACCGGAGACCGAGGGGGGTCGGCCGTCCGAACCCGGACCCCGGGAGAACGAGCCGACCCAACCCCAGGTCAGGAACATCGAGGCCGACGTCACCGCCGAGCCGGGCGAGAACGCGCCGCTCGCGACCGTCACCGCCATCAAGGGGGAGGAGGCGACCGAGAGGAGCCCGCCAGGGGTGCTAGAGGCGCCAGCCGAGAGAACGAGATCCCCATCGCTGCTGACGGGTCGCGGAGCGTCGACGCCGGTGCCGGGGAGTGCAGCGCCGATGACGGAGGAGACCGACGAGGAGGTGCCGGATCTCGACCTATCCGACGAGACGTGCGCGTCGAGTGCCGAGCAGTGAAGCGAACGGCGGACTCGCGAACCTCGAGTGAGGTTTAGTTTTTAAGTTAGCGTAAGTTTAGTTTTTAAGGTAGAGTAAGGTTAGGCTAAGTTAGGTTAGGCGACCGAGCTGGGATACAGGACGGAGCGCGGGGAAAACCTGAAAGGAAAAAGCATTAGTATACTTACCGAGGGATACTTACCAGTGTCCGGTGTCCGGGGTGCCCTGCAACAAAAAGAGAAAGAATTAGTGACCGTCCTGGGTTCGAGCGATGTCTGTCTGCGATGTCGGTGCAATTTTAGTTTATTTCTTATTTCGCGGATTTTTTAGAGTCTAATTTTATGTTCATGCTTATCTCCGTTATCGATTTCCGATTTCACAGTATTTTAGTTAAGTATCGGGGTCGACGCGAGATGGACGACGATCTGACGCACGCGCGGGGATCGAGCGAGCGTCGAGCGCGAAATACGCTTCGATCGGCGAAAATAGAGTTTTTGTTACTTCCCACGCGTCGGTACGAGCGATCGTTGTCAGTCGGAGATTATTTTATTATTTGATGGGTTTATCGGATAATCGAGAGTGCAGATTTTATGTTTATGCGCGAGATCCATCCGCATGTGCAATATCGCGACGCGAGTGTAATTCCGGTAAGTGTACGGAAATTATGTTAAAGCTACCTAGTCCTGCGTGGGGATACGCGTATAACTGTGATCGTCCGAATTTTAGATTTTTATATTTATATACATATTTATATATACGTGTTTATATATATGCAGTTAGATGTACGTACATGCTGTAATATCGGGACCCGACTTTACGATTACGATTAAGTTTTATATTTGTAAAGGGTCAGGAGTGATCGAAGTGGTGGTCGCTGTGCGCGCTCGGCCCGCTAATTTAGTCGGGACACCACGCCGCGAGGGGCGTTAGCTCCGCGCGAGGTGATGTCCCGAGCGCAGATTCTAAATCTGCCTCTTTCGGATCACTGCCAAATTGGACGTCGAGGACGACGGACGTGCTGGGCGACCGAGCGCACAAAGCGACGACGACGACGACTCTCCCCGACGACGAGAAGCTACGCCGAGGAAGGCGAATAAAGCATACACACTGCATACCGGTGAGTCATTGATATTTCTCCCCGCGAACTCCCGTTCCTTCGCGCTAGCGAGAACGACGCCGGTATCTCATCGCGAACGGGTGGCGACCGTTAAACCCAACCTGCGTAGTATCGTTAAAAAAGTAATATCCCGGGCGATTATAATGCGAACGTGTTAAATTGTTCACCGACTACCTGCATTCTTCCGGGGTCCGTTTACACAAGATATCGCGCGAAAGCGGATTATTTAGATACAATGATCGTTGAAAAATTCCACCCGTCTCGGTCCACTGGATCCGAAGTGTTGGCCGTGATAGGATATCGTACGCAGAAGATATAAAGAACAACATAAAAATCGAGCCACTGCTTTCCTATCTAAAGAGTATATAGATCTAAAGAGTATATATATATACTTATATATATATATATATATATATAATTATATATAATTATGTATAATTATATATATAAATTCATATATAATTTTACATAATTACGCATAAATTTATATGTAATTATACATATTGTGTATAATTATATATAATTTTATATGATTATATATAATTATACATAATTATGTATGGACAAATTTCATACAAAATTTTGCATGAAAAATTTTTCATCGGGTATTGCAATATCACTGCAATATTTCTGCAATATTACGTGCTGTGTGGGCAGTCAAACAATCACGATCAAGGATATTAATGTTATCCCGATGAAACACTTAACATTTTGGTGTCTCCTGTAAGGTAGGACGAGCAGCCTACACAACAAAACAAGAATAGCGGGACCTTTACAGTCAATCAAGGTGAGTCGTTCGGTTTATCCACATTTAAAATTCGAAAAAAAAGAAATGACGGATAGAATAAAAATTTTGATACAAAAGCGGACGTCTTTAAAGTCCCAAATCACAAATTTATTCTCGACAAAGGCAGAATAGACAATACCGCGTTAAAACTGCGTATGAACCGTTTGGCGGAGTTATATCACGCGTTCGAAGATCATAACAATGAACTCGCGGTATTGGATGAAAATGAAGGTTATTACACCGAATTTACAAATATACAAGAACGATATTATTCACTCGCGGGTAGAATTGAGAATCTTTTAGAGGTAGCCAATATTTCAGAAGCGAGTACTAGCGGTTCAAACAATGGGAATCGAAACGAGAATGTAGATCTTGCAATACCAAACAAAAAATGACGTATTAGATTACCTGAAGCATCTTTATCAACATTTGATGGCAAATACGAGAACTGGTTATCGTTCAAGAATGCATTTCGTAACATAATCGGTTCACAAAGTGATTTATCAGATATAGATAAGTTACAGTATTTGAAATAGGCGTTGGTTGGTGAAGCGACTAGCAAAATATGCATCTTTGAGACAGACAGCATAAACTATACGAAAGCGTGGGAATTGCTTGAACGATTGTATGAAGTAAAGCGCATTTTAATCTCAAGACACATATCATTGATTCTAAATTTACCGGCGTTAGTTAAAGAACGACTTGTCCAGACTCGCGGACGACATGCAACAACATGTCGCGTCATTAAACACGTTAGGAGTTTTTATAGGGCCAGAAATGATCGTGCACACTTTAGAAAATAAACTACCAAAAGACACGCTATAGAGATGGGAAACGACTCTTGAAAGAGATGAGTTCCCAAAACCAGATCGGATGTATGAATTCTTATACAAATCTGCAGTTTGCGCGTCGAGACGTGAACGGATGAGCACAGACAAAGGCAGTATCGGAACCCCGATTAAAAGAAAACGGATTGCCTCTTTGAATCGAGCTTTTATGTTAAATACAGTGCGCGATTGTATAATATGTAAAACGAAACGGCATCCTTTATACTTATGCAACCAATTTAAACAATTACCTGTGCAAAAACGTATAGACACAGTGAGGAACGCGAAACTTTGCTATAATTGCTTGCGTACACATAGAGGCAGTCCATACCAATATTCCAGTTGCACGGTCTGTCAGAAGCGTCACAATACCCTATTGCGTATTGATAATTACGCAAAGTTAGTAAAATCAAATATTTTAAAACCCGCGTCTGCGCAAACCGAATGACTAACCGAGATGAACGACGGCGCAACAACAGTCCTTGCGACGCTGTCCCGAATAGCGCCACAGTTGATGATGAGCGCGTTAATATATCTTCGTGATGATACACACAAGATGGTGAAATGTCATGCATTGTTGGATACGTATGCCACGGCAAACTTTATTTCGGAATCAATCGTCAAACGCTTAGGAATACAAGTAGCCAATCACACATTACCGATCGGTGCAATCAACGGTATAAGCACCGAATCGAGAGGCATAACGCGAGTTACTATACAATCTATATATGACGAATTTTCGAGGGAATTGACGTGTCTCACGATACCAGCAATTGCGGACTTAATTCAATCTGAAGTTTTCCCGCGCACTCGGTAAAATTGCCCTCAAATATTAAGTTAGAGGATCCAGATTTTCATTTGCCACAACTCGTAGATTTACTAATCGGCTTCGGGACGTCATTATCGTTGTTCGCAGTCGGACAAATCAACTTATGGAAATTATGATTTATATGCACAAAAAACGCGTCTAGGATGGGTGATCGCTGGCGGTGCGTCATCACAGAATTCAACAAAGGCCGTGACATGTCATTTAACGCATCTGGAGGATATAGTTAGTAAATTTTAGACAATAAAAGAAGTTTCATCGAGTAAACCGCTATCTGAGGAAGAGACTGCATGTCAAGCCCATTTTACGAAAACGATTTCTCGAGACAACAAAGGTCGATACATAGTCCGTTTACTATTTCGCAATACGAATAAACGGTTAGGCGAGTCGCGAAACATTGCATTTAAACGGCTGTTAGCATTAGAACGTAGACTCGATGCAGACTCAACACTGAAGACTGAATATATCAGACGAATATTTACAATTAAACCATATGTCTAGGATAACCGATCCCGACGAAAACGGTTACTATATGTTGTGACGTGGCAGCCGTGGAGGCGCCCGTCTCAAGAACCCCGTGCCGATTAGTGTAGAGAATGTTTATCGCGTGCCGTGTCGCTAACGGTTTTCGAGACCTTGCCGAATATCGCGTTCCGTCGGATTGTTTGTTGTGCCAATTTAGAACAAAGCGAAGAAGCGATTTTTGCGAGCGGAGCAGATGCGAAGGTCAGCGCGTCCCGAATTTTGTGCCCCTCGACGCCCCTTGCCGGCCACCAGGACGAGGAGCGGAGGACATCGAGGGAGGATGCAGAGGACGACAACGAGCGGAGCCTTGCTCAGGTGAATCGCACTCTCGTACTTTGGCGACACAAAATTATTATCGCGAATTATCGGACGCTCAGCAATAGAGAATATTCTATTGCTGAGAAATTATCGTAGTTATAATACAGTATCGCGTTTAGACGGATCAGCTGTATTTACTTTCAGCGAAGCAGCCGTCATGAGAAACCCGGCAGGAAAAAACGGGAGAGCCGGGAGAGACAACCAAGCGAACTCCCGATGTCAACAACGTTTCGAGACGAAAAGCGTCTCGAGACAATGGTACCGAAATCTGCCGATTCTCGACGATCGACGACCCCAGGACGAGGGGGCAGCGACGGGGGAGGATCAGCGAGGATACGCGATCCTCCCAGAGCCGATCAGCGGTTAGCCTTACCGCGACCATCGCCGCGATCAGACGACAATTACCGGAAAGCATTTTTGTACCGCTGACGAGTGAGTGAGAGAGAGAGAGAGAGATCAGGGCGAGAGAGCGGAGAGAGAGAGAGAGTAGAGAGAGAGAGAGAGAGAGGAGAGAGAGAGCGAGAGAACGAGATAGTGCGGGACGAGAGGGAGCGGACAGCGGCAGAGGGAGATAGGAGAGAGATCGAGAGAGCGAGCGCAGAGAGAGAGAGGAGAGGGAGA